TTGACTTATATTTATTTTGATTATCCCCAGGTCATTCACCAGGTTTTGAGGGGCTGCTGTTAACAGTGTCATATTCACCCCTCATCAATTATCACCCGGGCAGATGTTTTGTTTTACAGTTTTCGGCAGTACAGTTTTAGTCTCGGCGCATGACACGTGATTCACTTACTCTCGGTAATTGACTTTCGATTTCATCAGCACGGATTCAATTTAAGACTTTCTAAAAAATTGTGAAATAATTTACAATATATGTTAATTAGTCCTCTTCACTTTATCCTACAGTTTTGGAAACACTTGCACTCTGTTAAAGTTACCAATATTAATTAATATTTTTGAAATTTGAACTTAAGATAAAACTGTTGTTTTATATATTAAGAAGAAAAACAATTAAAAACAAATGTTTTTATATGCTGTGTTTTTTTCTTACCGCATACAACTGTAAACACAATCCACAATTTTTAATGTGACTAACTTACTGATAACATTAAAAAACAGTATTTAATTTACTGTCCCCGCGGTAATTTACAGTTTTTCTAGTACGAATATTAACTTATTTAATTGTTATTGGTTATTTTTATTGGTTAGACTATTTTACCTGCGAATTTTTAATAAATTACCTCTAACATGGTACCCATTACGTTATGTAATGATTATTTTAATGATTTCAATGGATTTTCAATGAATTTTTTTCCTTTTGCGAGATAAAAAGTTTTTGAAAACTCTTAATATTAAATTGTCCATTATTTAAACATCTTATTCTTAACGTTTCTTCTCAGTTTTAAAGTCTCAAACTTCTTTTGAGTGGAAAAAATGTAAACACTTTCAAATTCACGAGTCACGGCCCAGAAACACGATTAGGCCAATTAATTTGAAAAGCAAACATTAAACCATAAGATTGAACGAACTGATTTAAGAGGCGGTCAAAACAAAACATAAACAAAGTGATTTTTTCATGAAAAATTAAGTTGTTTGCGTGACAATTGCAACGCATAACAAAAATAAATCTTGAAATATTTTCAACGCATTTCTCACGTGCTTAGACTTGAAAAACAGCAGCAATTTTGTTTGGGGCCTCGATGCACAACTCGAGTGCTAAGCCCGGCTTAAAGCTGTCAGTCGACTTAGCTACCGTTCGTTGGCGGTAATCAAGGGGTTATTAAACAACTCAATTTTAATTTAACTGTAGATGATAGAACGCCCAAAATCACCAGCAGCTGGCCTTAATTATTAATGCAAATTTATTGTCGGTAGTCGGCGACTGAGGTTTATCGACTGTTGTTTGTGCCAACATAATTACCCATAGTTGTTGTCGAGTAACTACTGACCACGGCATTTTGTATCGTTTATTATCGTATTTACTATAAATTTAAAAGTATTATGAAGATTTTTTGATTGTATTTCATTTAGAGAACATCGACTTTAATTCGCTTTTATATTCCTATTCTTGGAAATATTAAAAACTTTGCTCCTATCGAAAGGAATACCATTGAAAGACTTTAAGACCGCCTTAACGGTGTCGCATCTGCCACTTCAGGTGCTTTTGAGCGTCACCTTCATGGAGGTCACCTACTGGAGGACCTGGTGGCCAGGTAGGTGTAGGTCATTGCGTTGGCGCTCCAATTGATGTGTTTATTACGCGCATAATTACTATCTATTTGCCCCTTCAAACGGAACTCAATACGCGGGAAGTTCCCAAAAACTCGTTTCTTTATGTGGGGCCATGTGACGTCAAAGACGGTGCTCCGAATCGGATACAAGAGTTTAAAAAAAGAATATCGGGGTTTGAAAATAAATGGCCTTGATGTTGGTGAAACAATGAATGCCGCATCAAATTATGAGGAAAAACTTTCTGAAAAGTTCAAGCTCCTGCTCCAAATTGGATATTTGGACTTGGTTTTTTAGCAGTTTTATGTAAGCGATTTTATTTTGCTGACGAATATTTAATCAATTTAATAGTTCCTAGTTTTTTTTGCTTTTAAATTTTTTATAATTAGGAATAACTTTGCCAAAAAGTAAGCTTCTGCTCCACTTAGGTCTCCATAAGCTGCTCAGCAATTTTGATCGGGGACTTATTTGTTTCTTTTTTACAATGCCTTCTTGTGAACCGTCAAAATATTTGCTTTGGGAGAAAAACATTTTTTGCTGACGTTGGTAAGTGATTAAAAGAAACATCAAAATAGCGAAAACGTAGTTCATTCAGTTCGCAAATCGCAGTCGATTGGACTGTTATTGAGTTTTCGCTGGTTAATTAATTTAAATTTGCACGAAGCCGAAATGACGTCTTGGGTTATTTCCTCGCCGCTATTCGCACGTGATTTAACCAGCGTGCACCGAATAACCCGTAAAAAGAGACACAGCAGGGCTTAATAATAAAGTTTTTGGAATTTTCGGCGGATCTGAGGTTCAAGTGCGTTTGTTGGCCATAAACTTTTGCTTTGCTTTTCGTTACCAAGCAGCTGTGTTTGAGATCTTGGAATTTATTGACTCACAAAAGATCCGGCGACAGCTGATCCGGAAAAGCACGGAGAATCGTGCTTGAAAAAAGATGATACACAAGAAAAATTATGTATTCCTTTTTGTGAGCAAGTTATGAACAAAAACTTTAATTAATAAAATTTGCACAACTATATTTTTTGATAAAATAATCTATTTAAAAGAGATTTTAGTAGGAAATCTTGTATAATCAATTATAGAACAATGAAATATTTTTCCCTGTGTACTAATGTGGCGTGATGGGAAGGCCCACCATGTTCAGACATCTTAATGAACCATCGGGACGCGCTAATCACCGGAAAATTAACACCTGATGAATGCAGCGTTCGCAGATTGCGTATCCGCCACCGTTTCGCATTTGGCGGAGTTTCATATGCAAATCGCTCTATGCGGCAGATAAGATAAGCAGCGACGTGGATAGCCAGCCGTAAGCACTTTGAGCTGCTTTAATTAGCGTGGACGTGCCTCCGTTTCCATTCATTGATATCGAAACGAGCGGACAACAAAATCATTAAAGAATCAATTGCTCCTGACGCACGCGCCAAGATCTTTACCCCCGAAAAAAAAGAAAAGAAAAAGTGCTCTCATCGACTGGTGATCACGGGCATTATCATCTTAGAAGCTTCATCATCGGATCTACGTCACATGGTCGACGTGACTATGGTCAGTTCAAGAAAGAAATCTATAATAGATGCCTCTATAATTTCGCCTGGCAACAAGATTTAAATCAGCATATGCCAGCACAAAAGAAATGTTATGAAATATTTTAGCTTGGGAAAGTTGGGGCCACCTTCTGACAAGTCTTACGTGTGACTTCGAGGGTATACATATGTCCATTACCTCAGAGTGCGAAATTTGAAAACCTTTAAAGTTGCCAAGGTGAATTTTTTTGTGAAAATCTAGCAAATAGAGCAGGTAATTGGGCCAGCATGTGATCAATGAATGACTTGCTTCTGACTGGAAATTACCATCACGAAGAAAATAATCAGCAGTCGCAAGATAAGCTACTGTTCTGTTGAGATAGCTCTAGCCGAATCAGTTTTGGTCAGACCACTAAATTTGTATACATTTTTTATGTAACCAGCTTGGTTTTCATTGTAGTAATGTATTTGTTTTAAATTGATGAGGTACTGAATGATATAAATAAACATATTACCTTTAGTAAAAATTCATTTACCGTACAAATCAAAAATAGAATCTTGAAGATAGGCACCGAAAATGTAAATTAATTTAATTTTATCATAAGAAAGAAATATGCAAAATCTAATGTTGCGAAATTCAAACTAATATGTTGGCCTCCAATAAATTCCCTCCAAATAACCAGTTTATATATCAAAGCTGCGATATCTCCGAATTGTTTAATCTGACCGAACCGATGTGATTCAGCACCAGATGTGTGTCCTCTCAGATCAGCCGCCTATTTATATATAAATAATTCCGCCAGGAGATAACGAGCCTCTTTTCGCATATATGTTATATATGTTTTTGAATTGATTAAAATAAAAACGACTGATTCGTAATTTGCGATTCCTTCAGCTGAAAAACCACAAAAATGTGCTTGTATATAATGCCAGTGTGGAGTGATATAATTTGCCTGATTGACATTGTTTAACCTTAATGCACATTTGCCTCCGTCCAGCGCCTTGCATTGGCCATATAACGGCGCCGACTGGAATTAACTTGAATTTATTGAGTCGCTGTTGGATCGCCAAACCGGTTGAAGGAAGCAGCTGAAGAAGGGGCTGCCAAAGCCATATCGAGTGACTGAGTCCCCGAACCCTTTCCATCCCTTCCCTAAACCCCCGTCATGAGTTTCAGGCGCGACCAGACGGCGACTGTACAAAAATGCCCGCGACTAAATATAAATTAACTCCTGCTGGCCATATTTGGCAACCCGGCGAGCGAAGCAGGAAGGAGGGGGACATCCAGGCGGCTAAGTGCGATCATTGAGCCTCTTGACAAATTTAAATAATTGTCCCGCGCATAGAGCGTGTCATTGATGAATCGATAGTCGATCGATGGTCCCTTCACTCGTTTCGGCCAGGCCAGGCCAAGGGCCATAAATTCCCAGCAGCCAGGGCTAAAAATAAAGCCAGGCTTAACCTTGAAGCATAACGGAAGAAGCCAAGCGAAGGCTGGTCCTGTTTCCTGGGGAAGAAGGGGGATCCCGGGGGAGGCCAGAAGTCTGTGGCCCGGCCAATTAAGTTGGAGATAAAGAATACCAGCGACCTAGGGCAACAGAATATTTATTGACACATCCTGTAGGGCGGGCAGTTCGCTCAAGGACATCCACAACCGCTTCCACTTGCGGTTCTTTTCCACTCGGCCTGGACGCGGGTATAAAAGCCCTATTCCGCACTCCACAATCGCAACAGTCTTCCAGCAGCAGTAGTCGAAGTTGTAGCGAAGTTTTGGAGGAGCACCAGAGCCCCAGAAGTCCTACAAGTCGCTACTCAACCGCTACTCAACCCAGTGAACAGTAAAGTAATACACCCAGTCAATTGAAGATGCGGCTTTTCCTGATCGGCCTGCTGGCCCTGGGCTCTGCGAGAGCCTTCTCCGTGATCCGGACACAGCCCCATCCGCAACTGGTGGCCTTCGCCCCGTCCAGAGGGGAGTTCCCCGTGGTGAGTGGCCTGGCCCAGGGCTACGTCCGCTACTACGACGGCACGGGCGCCGAGCGATTGCTGCCCTACAACTATCCGGAGCCATTGAACGGCATCCGGGATCTGGCCACCTCTAGTCTGATTCGCACTGGCCAGGAGAGCAAGGAGAACCAGCAGACGGCCCTGTTCCGGGCTTGGTGCGAGCAGCGCTACCAGGCCATGCGCCAGGAACTGGACCGCCTGAAGGCCCAGGGCCAGAAGCCCACCGCCAGCATGCTGGCCCAGTTCGAGCCCCTGGAGCAGATCGTCAAGTTCGCCGCCTTCGAAGCCGTTCCCGGACTGTCGCCGGAGGTTCAGCGTGCCCGGGATGAGCAGCTGCGCATCTGGAACGAGGCCAGGCTGGAGGTGCTACGCGCCGAACAGGCCCAGCAACTGCTGATTGAGAAGGAGCAGATCCCAGTGATTTACGGCCAACAGCTGGAGCAGCAGGTTCTGGTGAAGACATCAACGCCCCAGGTGGCCAAGCCATTTATTGGATCCCCGCAGACCCACTCCTACGGCCAGTTTGCCACCAGCCAGAACAATCTGCAGCTGAAGACGGCATCACAACCCGTTCCACAGCCCGTGGAGGAGACCCCGGAAGTGAAACTGGCTCGCCAGGAGCACCTCAAACAGTTCAACGAGGCTCTGCTCCGCCAGCCCGCTCAGGAAACTGTCATCCTCAAGACCGTTCCTGGAATTCAGCAGCCATTTACGACCCAGCCTCAGCCGATTATCAAGAGCACCACGACCACTTTTGTAAGCCAACCAAGTGCCCAGCTCCAAGGTATTTTCAAGACCAGCAACTTCCAGGATCAGCAGACCCCTCAGAACATTGAGGAGACTCCAGAAGTGAAAAGAGCCCGCGAGGAGCATCTTAAACTGTACAATGAAGCTCTGCTTCGTCAGCCCGCCAACCCTGAGGAGCCCATTCTGAAGACGACACCCATTCAACCCATTCAGTCCCAAGCCATCATCTTCCCAGACCAACAGGCTCCGGCTATCCAACCCATCCAGGAAACGCCAGAGGTGAAACGTGCCCGCGAAGAACACCTGAAGCAGTTCAACGAGGCCATCCTGCGGCAGCCAATTGAGGTGCAGCAGCAGCCACTGATTCCCACCGCGCCCATCGCTCCATTCGCTCCTCAGTTGATTGTGAAGAGCTCGATTGCCGAGCCCCTGGGTCCGCAACCCATCCAGGACACGCCCGAGGTGAAGCTGGCCCGCGAGCAACATCTGCTGCTCCTGGGTCAGGCCAAGCTGAAGGCCGAGGACAAGGTGGCCGACATCGCCGACATGATTCGCCTGGAGGAGCGGGAGCGGGACAATCAGCGGCAGCTGGAGCTGGAGCTGCGCAGGCAGGAGGAGAAGGAGGCCGAATTGGAGCGCCAGCAGGAGGCAGATCGTCTGCGGGAGGAGACCCGTCTCCTGGAAGCGGAGCGTCTTAAGATCGAGCAGGAGGATCGCCTGCGCCTGGAGAGCGAAAAGCAGGAGCTCCTCCAGCTGAAGGCTACCACCACCTACGAGAAGGACACACCCGAATACCTTCGCAAGGCCGAGCAGTTCAAGATCATCAACAACCAGGTGCAACCACAGCCGCAGCCCAATATCGTGACCCAGCAGCAGCAGGTGCAGAATGGCTTCTTCCTGCGCATCCAAACCAATCAGCCCAATACCATCCAGCCATTGCCGGAACCCATCAGCACTCCGGGTCTAGTTCTGGCCGAGCAGAGCCCCAATCCCTTCCTGGTGCGGTACACTCCCAAGCCGGCTGACGTCCAGGTTCCTCTGCAGGCGCTAGTCCCCACTCCACTGCCCGCCGAGTTGAAGCAGAAAGTCGGCTACAGTTCCACATCCTCCAGCGAACTCGACCTGGCCACGCGGGAACACTTCCGCGCCCATGAGATCGCCCTGGAGCAGCTGCGTCTGGCCAACCTGAAGAACCCCTGGACCCCCGAGTGCCAGCACTAGGAAACCCCACGAATTCGAATCACTTGCATTGCCTTAGGTTAGATCACATGCCCACATCTCACGTACACCCATAATACACCCCTCATACGCATACTCGTACACCTGTGTAGCTTAAGCGATTCACTCCGAATCCCGATTCAAAATGCATTCAGTTGAGAAACAACGCAAAACACGACGCGATTACGGGATGTGGGTGGGTGGGGGGTGCGTTGGGTGGTGCCAGGGGGTGGAACAAAGGAAATGGCTTTCTCGGACTTTACTGTTATAGAACGTTCCCATGCTAATTTCGAGTCGCCAGATTGTCGGATCGATCAGAATGCGCATAAAATGCTAAAATTGCGCCGCAAACTGGCACAGATGAAGATGTTATCTGATCCGCTCGAATTCGGATTCAGAATCGGATTCGGATTCGGTTTCAGATCTGATCGATTCAGTTCTTAGCACTTGACGCATAAATAACAAGTTGGTGTTATATATCATAGAGAACTCCAGCTATAGGATACTCTATGGGGCGATTTCTTTTTTGAAAAGAACGGAAAAGTTGAAATTTCGAATGCAATTTTTATGAAAATTACAAGATATTTAGGTAAAGGTAAGACTCAATGCTCAAACAAATTAGAATTTTCAATGTTGCAAATAGCAGCTGATATTTGCATTAGAACACCAAGAAAGTGTAGCTATAATTCAAAATAATGCCAACAGTAGCTTAATCTGCATAACAAATTTGGTAACTTTAGCTCAAATGGTGTCACACTTCTAGCTGTTTATACAAGCTCCGCTATTGACCCTGATCGGGAATACATATGTATGCACCTTTATAGGCCCGTTACACAAATCTCCATAAATCCGATATAGCGAATATAGCCTTGCGGTCGACGAGTAGCGGCTTATGAAAATGCTCTACAAATGAATTCAGAACGTTATCCACTTAGCGTCCACAAGCGTTTGCCAGCTCCGCACTGACCTATCGCAAATCGAACAGACCGTTAATCGTCGTTTCGAATTGATGAAATTACCGTTCAGAAGTCCGATCGCCCCCGCCTCCCTCCGCCACCCTTCATCCACCTGATAAGATTTCTCCAGCGATTACGTGGCGTATGAGTAATGAAAGCGTGTCGGAGCGAAAGTGACTAACGGGAAACCGAAGAAGTTCTACAAATATGCCATATATGGCAACATCTGATATCTGGTTTGCTGGTGGCGGATGTTCAGACACTTGATAAGACTGTTACAGAAGATTTGCAGTATTTGAAGAATATCGTGTCTAGGCAGTCCAAAGTTCACTTGCAGTGATTCACAGTTGGGGGCGGAATATTTGCTGATTCTGCCACCGAATGGCTCACATGATTATTTGCTGGCGGGGTCCAAAGTCTGGGGGGAGTTTCGTTTCAACAATCCACCCCCTCTTTGGGGCTTATCTAATGCCAATCGAATCAATCGAACTGATTGAGCCATATCGATATGATGTGGCTGATGCAACTTTCGGCTTTACCATGGCTAGACAGTTTGGGTTACGTTCCGGTCGTTCATATGTTCCTGATTTGGCCTTGTTCAACTGGATTTGGGCCAATTCAAGCCGAAATAAAATCAAACCTCGCAAAGTGCGCAGTTTGCTTTGGGCCAGGCTATGTGCGAATTATGTGTGCGTATTAATAGAAACCGCAAAGCAAATCTGCGTTTCTGTTTACATTTTGCAGCCCACAATGGAACAATATATGGGGAAGTGATTGGCTGAAACACCTTTCGAATCGAATTCCCCGAAACGGGAAATATTTCGAAAATTATTGAAAAGCTAATTGTAATGGGAACATTAGCGTGAAAAGATTCTTTCCATCAATTGCTTGAACAAATAAATTCTTTTCTAGGGGATTCCTGCCGGTGAATTGCCTTACATTAGCTTAGTAGTTTATGATGTGCAGTTCCGGGAACTACACATTAGTATCATCTGCTTTGGTTGGGAAACCATAATATTATTGCAATTATAGGCCATCTGACTTTCTAGATATTCCCATTCTCACGCTTAACATAGAGATTTTTATAAAAAAGCTGTTTATTAAAGTGTTTAATCTCAAAAATGAAGACAATATTTCAGTTTATGCACAGTTATCTATTATTTGCAATTCAAAATGTTTCGAAAGGTAAATTTTGCTGTATTAACGGACTACTATTTTGTATTTGCTAATAAGTAAGTGAGTAAGCCCTTGTTTACAAATATAAAACAAAGAAATACAAAGCAATGCCGTCTTGTTCACAAATATTGTTTTAACTTTATGGCAAGGCTTTATTTACAATGCTGTATAAAAAAATGTATAGCTACAAATTTGAAGTTAAGCCAGGTGTTCCTGATTTTACAAAATTTATTGGATTTAGATTTTGAGAGGTCACACTTACACTGCAAATTATTAAATTGCAAATAATTATACCCGTTACTCGTAGAGTAAAAGGGTATATTGTATTCGTGCAAAAGTATGTAACAGCTAGAAGGAAGCGTTTCCGACCCTATAAAGTATATATATTCTTGTTCAGGATCACTAGCCGAGTCGATATAGCCATGTCCGTCTGTCCGTCTGTCTGTCTGTCTGTCTGTCCGTATGAACGCTGAGATCTCGGAAACTGTAAAAGCTAGAAGATTGGCATTTTGCATGCAGATTCTAGGTGTTCCTACGCAGCGCAAGTTTGTTTCAAAAAGGTGCCACGCCCCCTTTAACGCCCACAATCGCTTATATACGATTTTAAAAATTTAAATATTTCGGAAAAGTAAAAATGCAGTTTTATTGTGTTTATCAATACCTATCGAAATGTAGAAGAAATTTTTCAAATCGGACCATTCGTTAAAAAGTTATGCTTGATCAAAGTTTCTATTTCCATCTCCCTCGCACTCCCTTTACCTGAGTAACGGGTATCTGATAGTCGGGGCACCCGACTATAGCCTTCTCTCTTGTTTTATAATGCGAATTGCATATAAACTTAGTAGGCTCATGTAGATTTTGTAAAAGACAAGAGTGATTTAAACAAATATAGTAGATTGCATTTCTCCAAATGACCTTACCGCCATCAAAAATTGTATTTAAAAAATATTTTATTTTGAATATACCTAAAAAGGTATGACTTTTTATAGAGATGCAACCAACTAATGATTTCCTTTCTCAAAAATAAACAATGATTACTTCCCCAACTCAAGGCTTTAATCAATTCCCTGCAAGTGTTTAATTTCGCCAGAAATCTCTATTAAAATGGCAATCGCTCAACACATTTAACGACCTTGCCATAAATATTAACCTCCCCCTTTTTGGCCGTTTCCTTGGCCATAAAAGGAAATGTCAGTGCGGTAGTTCCCCCCAACAAACCGTCAAGTGAAAAGCAAACAACGGCACTTCCAGTCGCAGTCGCAGTCGCTTAAATTTTGTTTTCTATGGAAGTACTGATAACAGTAATACAAAAAGACCAGATAAATAAAGAAAACTGAAAACAAACAAGAACTGCTGATACAAAATTTTTCCACCAATTATTTGCTTTGATATTTATGCAGAATGTGTGGTATTGTTGTCGCTGATATTTTTAGCTCAGGCGACAATTTATTTTTAACATTCCAGGTTATTTTTGGGCCGAAGTTAGTGCGCCGCAAACGATAATAACAAAGGCTCCCTCGTTTTCTGGCCATCACTCAAAGCGACGGGTTGCCAACCAATCTCGCCCAGAAGCGTTTGCTTTAAGCCATGTAAATACCGCCTGGAACAACCAATTAGTGATAAGACTAAGATAAGACGCACTTATCGACGAGAAAGTGGGTCTTCCTCGTAAGAAGAAGAGTTCTCCTTAGCGGACCTTGAGTTTATTTTTCGCCGCGGCACCATAAGTCATATTGAATACGTAACTGATAAGATGCAAGTATAGTAGTTCGCCATATTTAATGATCAATTGTTTTTGCACTTATTTTTAGATGGACGGGCTTATAGTCACTGTCGTTCCCCGAAACCGTAACCCCCGTAACTTGTTGTGGTATATTAATGGCTGTTATTGTTACCGGTGCCCACTAATTGAGATTGGCGGCGGGTCACCAAATCTTGTTGCCAGGCCACAAAATCGGGGACCACACTTAGTGAAGGGTTATAAATGCAAAAACGTGATATGATAGTCACATGCGTGCGATTATCACGTTTTGCGATAATTTCTTTTCGACTCAATAGCAAACAACTGGAACTGTTTTGCTTGCCGTTCTGCTTTTTCATGCAGCTGTGTTATAATTGGATACTCAATATGTTTTTTTGGAGAGCTTTCCACTTACATATTCAAAAATATGTAATTTAACCGACATAATATAGTGGCTGATTTTTTATGGTTAATCAAAACGTATAATTAGGTCATAATAATCAGCATAAATGTTAAAAATGACTCTCATATATTCTTAAATACAAGACTTTATTTTTTCTTACATTCTCATTAAATGATAGAAGACCATAAGATCGGAAAACCCGACTTAAATTACTGCAACAAAAAAAATCTGCGGAGCCAAAAACATTGCCCCAAAACAACATCCGTTCGCGGAAATCTTAAACCAAAGATTCATAGAACATCTTCGGCAGACGAAAAACATTATCGACGTAATTGAAATTTAAGAAGAAAATGAGCTCCCATTTCTGGTTAATTTTGTTTGTTGGCAGCATAACAATTTCCAAGACATAGCCAGTGGGTCAGTCCCACGCATTGGTACCCATATCGTTTCGCAACAAAAGAAATTGCCCAGATAGTGCCCCTAAATTCGGAACAGCAACCCATGTGATCGTCATTGACGTCACAATGACATGTGCCTTCGTCACTGTTTTGGCAGCATTGATAAATACGAGCATAATTATAGAAGCCCCTGGCCATTGTCCAGTGTGTGGGCGTGTCAGGTGGGCGGTAACCGCCTCCTTGATCTTGGGTAAACACAATCCGGGACGCGAATGTTTGAATGTTTTGTTTGTTCGATCGGCAGCGATCATGCGATTACTTCATTATGC